AAATCTACAAGAAAATCCAACACCTCTACAACAAAAAGACAAATAATCCTATTAAAAAATGGGCAAAGGAAATGAACAGACACTTCACCAAAGAAGTCATCTGAGAGGCCAACAGACACACAAGGAAATGCTCGTGATCACCAGCCACTAGACAAATGCAAATTAAACCACGCTGAGATACCATCTCACCCCCGGCAATACTGGCACGAATCAAAAACACTGGAAATAACAAATGTGGAGAGGCTGCCGGGGGATCAGAACTCTTACGCACTGCTGGTGGGAATGCAAAATGATACAACCATTTTGGAAAATGATATGGCACTTCCTTAGAAAGCTAGAAATAGAAATACCATACGATCCAGCAAACCCACTCCTAGGACTATATCCTAAAGAAATAAGAGCTGTCACACGAATAAATATATGCACACCCATAGTCATTGCAGCACTGTTCACAATAGCAAAAAGATGGAAACAACCTAGATGCCCATCAACAGACGAATGGATAAACTATGGAACATACACACAATGGAGTATTATACAACAATAAAAAACAATGATGGATCTGTGAAGCACCTCATAACATGGCTGAAACTGGAGGACATTATGCTGAATGAAATAAATCAATCACAAAAGGACAAATATTGTATGAAACGTCTACCGTAAAAACTCATGTAAAAGTTTACACAAAAAAAGAAACAATCTTTGTTGGTTACGAGGGATGCGAGGGGTGGGAGGAGAACTAAATAGACAATAGATAAGTGGTAACTTTGGTGAAGGGTGAGACAGTACACAGTACTGGGAAAGCTAGCACAACTTGTACAAGGAAAGTCATGGAAGCTCCATAGAAACATCCAAACTCCCTGAGGGACTGAATTGCTAGGCAGAGGGCTGTGGGGACCATGGTCTCAGGGAACATCTAGCTCAACTGGCATAACATAGTTTATAAAGACAATGTTCCACATTCTACCTTGGTGAGTAGCATCTGGGGTCTTAAAAGCCTATAAGCAGTCATCTAAGATACTCCACTGGTGTCCCCACTTCAGGAGCAAGGGAGAACGAAGAAAACAGGATACAAGGAAAAGATGAGTCCAAAGGACTAATGAACCACAGCTACCACGGCCTCTACCAGACTGAGTCCAGTACAGCTAGATGGTGCCCAGCTACCACCACTGACTGCTCTGACCGGGATCACATCAGAGGGTCCAGGACAGAGCTGTAGAAGGATGTAGAACAAAAATTCTAACTCACAAAAAAAGACCAGATTTACTGGCCTGACAGACCGGAGAAACCCCGAGAGTATGGCCCCTGGACACCCTTCTAGCTCAGTGGTGAAGTCACTTCGGAGGTTCACCGTTCAGCTGGGGATTGGACACCCTCATAAAACAAAATGAGACTAATGAGGCACAGCAGTCTAGGGACAAGGACTAGAAGGCAGGAGGGGACAGGAAAGCTGGTGATAGGGAACCCAAGGTTGAGAAGGGACAGTGCTGACAT